ATTGAATTCTGAATTCAGCCATATAGCACACTTGTAGTTTTCCTTGAATACGATGAAAAAATGCAATTTTATTGCGTATTATAAAGAGGGCCATGAATAAGTCAAAATAAATGCAATTCGATCTGCCAGAAGACCTGTCAGATTTGACGAAACTGTATTCAGCACTGTGTTGGTTTTTCGTAAAATTGAAAAATGGTTCAATTTTCAAATGCAGAAAAGTTGGATATGTCTTTCTTATTAGTCAGTGGGCTATGCTTGAAGACTGGCAGCCAACAAATCTAAAGCAAATGACATTTAAAAGTTCAGGCCAGTCTCCATATACCTACACTCTAGGTTTAATGTACTGACGCCTATCAGAAAACAACTACTCCCCTGGCAAATGCAACGCATGGCGTTGGATTATATCCGACAGGCTTCAGTGCAGGAATCTTCACAGAAAATTTCTTGCATATGCAATTGGCAATACAACTGAAAGAGTCGACCCTCAATTTTGGAACGGGCACACTTGCAGACCGGTTTGGGGCTCATTAGCCACTCGTCAGTGCAAGATAGTGACCATCATCGACCTAAAGTCAATGATATTCCAGAATTGAAAATCGGAAATCTTTCAGAGTATTTCATTCCTCTTCCGAAGTTGGAGCGAACATGGAGTGACACTCCATGTCACTTAGGACGTTACAGACAAACAAGTGACATCTTAGTAATTTTTCATATATGTTACGTCCATACTTCTTTTAACCTGCCACATAACCTCACATACACTGTAAGTTGGCTTGAATTATTTAATTACCTCTAAACATATACAATGTGAACGAAAACAAATTAACAAATTATGAAAATGGTGGTTTTTCAACATCCTCTCTCATCGAATAATTTGTTCAATCCCATTGTTTGTCGTAAAATATTCAATTTTGGCTTGAACAGCGGTTTGGTATGTACATCTGCTACTTGGTGTTCTGATGCTATTTTTTTAATTGAAATAGCACCATGTAAGACCAGTTCCTTTACAAAGAACTGTCTTATATGAATATGTTTGGTACGTCGGTGATATTCCGGATTTTGGGCCAATCGTATTGCAGCTTCGTTATCGACCATCAATACTGGATTACATTCCATATCCAAAAATTCTTCATACAGGTGTTTCAACCAAATCAGTTCACGGAAAGCGTCGCTTGCAGCTACTATCTCAGCTTCCGTTGAGGAAATATCTACTGTGGTTTGTCGTTGACTGAGCCAAGATATCGCACCGCCAGCATTCATACAAATAACACCTGTTGTTGTACGTCCCGTTGTTTCATCTCCGCCATAGTCAGCATCACTAAAACTTCTCAGGCCATCCATACAGGTTATTTTGTACGTTATACCGTAATCTGTTGTTCCTTTGAGGTATCAAAGCATTCGTTTTACTTGGATGCAATTATGATTGTTGGGATCTTCTAACAACGTGGAAACAACACTGATTGCATAAGCAATGTCTGGTCTTGTACCTATTATTAGATACATAAGAGCCCCAACCGTCTCTCTGTATGGAAAAGTTGTATTCAAACCCATTTCGGATTCGTTCTCTGATTGAATACAATCTTTTACAATCGGTGTTGAAACGGGTTTAAAATCTTGCATGCCGAAGCGTTCTAATACTTTTCTTGTATAAGCTGCTTGATTTAATTGAATGGAACCATCGTTTCTAGTTTTGATTTCTAATCCTAGGAAATAGAAAGCAAGATTCACTGTCATTTTGAATTCATTCTGCAAGCTTTGCAATAAATCATTCTTCAATGTATCCTTAGTTGTTGCAAGCAACCCATCATCAGCGTATATGACCAAGATTATCATATCATTTCCATGTTTCTTTCTGTATAAACATCGATCTGCATTACTTTGCTGGAAATCAAGTTTCTTCACAACATCATGGAATCGCTTATTCCATTATATTGGTGCTTGCTTGAGTTCATATAAACTTTTCTGAAGACGACATACTCGATTAGTACCATCCTCATATTCTTCAGGTTGTTTCACATAAACTTCTTCGTGAAGCTCGCCATAGAGAAATCAATCTGGGTGAGAGTTATTTTTGTACTAGCAGCAATACTCAGAACAGCTCTTATCGTACTACCTTTTGCTACAGGGCTGAAGGTTTCATCGTAGTTCTCACCCTTTCTTTGTGAGCAACCTTTGATAACCAGTGATTTTTCTCAGGGTAGGAGATGGACTCTTTGTAAGTGAGTGGCTCTTTAGGTTCGGTTATTTCACTAGCAACATCATGGCATAATCATCGAATCGGAATGGCTTTCTGATTTCATGTCTATCTCTCAGATGCTTTTTTATTACAATGTACTCATCTTCTAGAAATGGATCTTCTATCTCTTCATTTTGAGAGCCGGAGATATCCGCTCTCAAAATCTACTGTCTACTGGTATGTCTTCTTCTGACGTCTCATTTTCATCAGTAGAGGGTACTCTTGCCATAACAGAATGTAATGGTTTATCTTCGTGAAAAATTACATCACGAGATCGTATAAGCCTCTTAGTTTCTTCACACCAGATACGATATCCATCATCATTCTCATATTCAATGAGTACTCCTTTTATAACTTTTCTATCCATTTTCTTTCGACATCTTTTTCGTATGTGTGCATAGCAATTACTGCTTATTACTCTGAAATGCCTCAAATTTGGCTACTTTTTAAACCATATTTCGAAGGGAGATTTGTCTTTAATACCAGATGTACCGGATCTGTTTAAAATATAAACAGCTGTATTAGTCATTTCAGCCCACAAGCTTTGACTTATTCGTCCTTCTCCGGCATGCATCAAAGCTCGGGTAGTTGCAACTACTGTTCGATTATCGCGCTCTGCGCAACCATTCTGCTGAGGAGTGTCGGGCATGATGATTCTTTGTCGTATTCCATAGTTATTGAGAACTTTGGTTATTTCTCTATTTGAGAATTCTCCACCTTCATCTGACAAGAATTCCTGAACGTTGTAGCCCATGGCTTTAATCTCTGCGAGTAAAATCTTCAGCTTTTCTACAACTTCAGATGTTTCTTTGATGAAGAAAACATAACGGAACCTACTGAAATCATGTTTGAACTGGACATATCACCGGTAACCTGACTTGGATGGACACATCCGAGTCCACATACATCAGGACGTATTCGTTGTGCAGGAAAGAACATCAGCTCTACCTCTGGTACCAAACTTCATTATATGAGCTTTCCCGTAAACGCATCCTCCACAAAATTCACTGTCCAAATTGACATGTATACCAAGTTCATATTCGAGTAGCGATTTCATATATTTCTTAGTTTGGTGTCCAAGTCTCTCGTGTCACTTCCTCTTTGACCAAGGATTGGGATGATAAAGCTTTTTCGTATGCACAAAGTTGGTTAGTTAAACTATCAATTGTTCTATCGTTTTTCGACATTAACATCCAACTTGACTTGAACGAAAAATACTCTGGAGGAAGAGTCTCCAAAATCTTGCAAATCTGCAACAATTCTGGTAGATCGCATTTACAGGTGTTTTCATTTACTGTTTTATCCTTGGTGATTTCATTTTGCAGAATATTCCAAAGATTTTTGAGTCTAGAAATGAGAGATGGAATGTCATCTTCTGCGTGTCGTGTGTAGCTGAAGAATTGCATTCATGTGTCATATGTTTTATCCTCAACATAACCATCATACAGCCTGTGTAATTCTTGCCACACTTCACGAGCAGTAGTCTACCCAGGGCCGTCTCCATGGGAAGATGGGGGGAGCCTCCCCTCCCTGCTTTTTCGACTTGGTAAAAATTTGGGAAAAGTTGGGTTTTTATATGGGACAGCCTGTATATATATATATATATAGGCAAAATTTATAATAAGTAGTGTTACTGACTAATTAGATAAATCCATAACCGAAATTTCATTCAAATGCAGTAATATCTTTGTAATTTGTTTTCTATTGATTCCAGAAGGTTTTTTGATTCCAGGGTAGGGAGAAACCAGAAATGTCAGGAATAACATTCAGACTCTAAAGTGAAATTTATCTAATAGTTAAAAGAAGATAATCCTTAACGATGATGAATTATTTCGACAATAAAAATTAGATTGCATGCTGACACTCACCTCATAAGATTATTACAGTTTTCCCGAGCAACGTAACTGAGTTAGTGTTATTCTGGATGAATTAACACTAACCACCTCTTCATCAACTAATTAGATTGAGAACAAAATTGACTTGGAGGAAAGCAGATATCGCTGTAGATACTGGAACACATTTGAGAAAAATTGTGGGTTGTAGATATAGACTAAATGAGAGATTCGACCAAATTTACTCTTCCTCTTCCTACTCATTGCTCTTCCTACTAATTGCCTCACAGTCAACAGAGCAGATAAAACATTTGGTACAAATTCCATTCGACCATAGCCTATCAGCCAGGATTTTGTTTTCCCTAAGTGGGGTCAACTTTATTATAATCATACAATTTATATATCCATATATACCCTCAGGTGAAATGTTGGAGCATTATTATTGAAAACTATTCAACTAACTTTCAATATAGAATTTTTTCAGTGTTTTTATTATACTTCAAGTAGTGTTCTTATTTTTCAAAATCTGAAAATTAGGTGCTTAGCAAATAGCCTATGATATGAACATTTGAAATAATTAGAGATATTTGTTCGAAATAACTTGTGCCGAAACAGCTCGGGTGCAGAATTAAGGTATGATTAATTTGCATACCTGTTCGGTATGCGGAGATGGACATTGCCTACCATATGACCCAAAAAACTATTGACTCAAACTTTCTAACTAGCAAACTCAATAATTGGAAGCATGTCATCCCCATATTTTCTGTATGTTATTGGTACTGTTTGAACTGTTGAAGTAGAGGAAATATCTCAAGTAAACTCTTGAATGAATGTATTAATTTTAGACAACTCAACTCACACTTTCATTATGTCAAAAATTATTCTTTCAACTATCTATAAACATATACAATGTGAACGAAAACAAATTAATAAATTATGAAAATGGTGGTTTTTCAATATGGACAACCATATTTGTCATTATGTACCACTATTACAGTAAATGAAGAATATTTTTAGGTTTACCTCAAATTTCGTAACTGCACACATCATATCCTGAAGCATTTGTTCAGATATCCTTAATTTAACCTCATATCACCAAACTTCTGAGCGTCAAAACAGTAAGCCCAAACGCCCTAACCACAAATCTCTACAACATAAAGCATAAGGTTTTGAGTTACGGATTCTGGTTTTATTTTAATAGGTTCGAGTCGTGTAGTTTTCGGTTGAGGAACAGAATGATAAGATTTAAAGACATTCTGATTGAAGGATTCTAATATATTCATTTCAGTCAGTCAAATTATTCTGTATGAGAATAATAATTTTCAACTAATATAATCTCAAATTTGAAAAAAAAAAAAACAGTTATTACATTCTCTTGTCACCAAATCCAGGAATCCCAATTGTTCTGATTCAGAGTGCAAGAAGGCTCAGGCTTAGAGCCTACACTTTTTCAATATCAAAAGTTTGTTTCACTTCTTGCACGTAAAAAACTTTCAAAAGAGAAATCATTCCGTAACTATCAGTATTCTAAACTATTGCTACTGAGTTTTTGAATATGCTCTTTACTTTTTACCGAATTTTATTTCGTTTTTAGCTAAAATTGTTTTCGAAAAAATTGTTTAAAGGGTGCCGCGAAAAAAATACGACTATTCAAGAAACCGCAAACCGAAAACGACTGGGAATCTGTAATTACGTTGTATTTCATAAACTCACCTGTAGTAGTAATACTCCCAATTCCAGGTATATTTGTTAATATTTCTGTGTCACCTTGAAAGGGGCGTTTGTTATTTTGATCTCGAATGAGGCCATTTTGATTCGAAACATATCCTTCTGAGTCTTGCGAGTATTGCTGAGAGTTTTGGTACTGCTGATTGGCCTGATTGACCAGAAGATTTGGTTGAAAAGTCGTTATGGAAAGTCCTGGTTTTCCACTTGCCAGATGACCGAATTCATGCTGCTGCTGGGTATGTGAATTTTGCTGTGAAGATTGATAATTCTGTGGTGTATCAGTGCCATCTTGGAGACCTGCTACAGGAAGACCCGGTGTGCCATCTAAAATAACTTTTGTTAAAAGATCTGGTGCTAGACTTTGAACTTTCTCGATTTCATTCAAATATTGGGCAATTTGACTGACTACTTTTTGCTGAGATATAGACACAGTACTTTTCAAACTTTGCTGCTGAATATTTCTATGTTGCTGTGAATCTTGATGAGTAACTTGCTGACTCTGAAGTTGGGGGAAATCGGTATGAGTAGGGAAGTCGCCGTGAAAACTTTGAGGTGAAATCTTAGCATCTAAGAGTGGTCGATTTGGATCTCAATTCGAAATATTTGGAAAAACAAAAATGTATATGTATTTAGGTATGTTAATTTACATAATTTTCATAATTTAAGTACTACTTGCTGTAATCACTTAGTGTGTCTCATATTTATTAATCTTTGCAGCTGAATATTACTGGAGTTTTTCCCAACACCAAATCATTATTTAAACACCTAGACACGTGTTTCGATCACCAACTGATCATCTTCAAGAGGATCTTCCTCTTGAAGATGATCACTTGGTGATCACGTGTCGAGGTGTTGAAATAACGGTTTGGTGTTGGAAAAAACCTCCAGTAATATTCATTACTACACCAAAGATTCCAAATAGTGTATCACAATCTTTGTAGCTGTTTATGGGTTTACTGAAGATGGGCGGCTCACTCCACCCGAAACATGTCTAATTGCCATTGACCTCCAATGTTTCCAATTTTCTGGACTTACAATAATGTTTGTGTTTAAGTCAACATTCGGTGAAGGGTGCTGATAATAACACAACAGAAGAACAAAATACAGACTCCTTCATCCTTCTTTTTTTGTATCAAGATGGAGTAGTAGAAAGCCAAATATTTTCTTTCCCAAAAATTAATCACTCCTAAAAAATAAAACCCCTTCAATTCAAGTAAAAATGAAGTATCTCAAAAGTGTTAAGTGTCACGAAAAGAGATAGAATGAAAAAATTAAGGACAACCTGGATATGAAATTAGTAATAGATTTTATCGAAACAAGACAACTGAATTGTAGGGACATTTACAAAAAATTGCGAATACAAGACAGGTGAAGAAGTTATGGGAAGAAAAAATGAATGGGAAAAACAGAAGATCTAAGCAAACTGGAGAGAAACAATTTGTGAGATACAAGAAAAGAGAAGAATGACATGAAAGTAGGCGAAGATACTGACTCTAATTGTTCAACAATCAGTGATTGACTTTATGATTTTTTTCTGCATTTTACCAAAACCTACTCCAGTAATGTGTATACAGAGTGTTTCAAATTCGATCCTCATCATTGGGATCTCGAAAACTATGAGAGATACGAAGATGGTCAAATTAGGGCAAAGTTGTACATTTACCTGACTAACAACAATATGCCGTTGGGAAAGTTCTGAAATTCCGAGTATATCGGGAGATATCCGGAAAAAACAGAAATTTCGGAAAATGGTTTTTATTTTTTTCTGGCTTTATTTTTTGAACGATTCGAAAGTAAATTGCACTTCCACGTTGCCATTTTTTCCCTGCTACATAATGATGTTTTCAGATTTGCTATCCGACGTTTCGTCTTCCGGCCACCACCCTCAACTTTATTTTTTCTTATAGGCGCTACATTGGATTTTTTCTCTTCTGAATAGATCCAGATTTTATCTTTTCTATGATGTATCATAAGTTATCATTCTTTTTCGAAAAATTGGTTGAATATATCATGTAAATCAACTAACGATATATCCAAAACAGATTCGAGATTATGCAAGCCATGAATCTAATAGAAGTCAGATTCATAAAATTCAACCATTAACCATGGTTGTGACAATATCAATTCACATTATAAAACAAAATATGTTCTCTAATAGTGAAAAGAAATGAATGCTTATATTAAATGCAGTTTTAAAAAAATCTGTTTTTCCGTTAACCAGTTGTCGCACCCCTACGAACGAGAACCCTCAGCAGCGAAACTTGTGCGAGCTATGGATTAACGAGGTTTTACCTTTCAACGTGTGATTCCTACCACACAGTGCTCGAACAAAATTTTGTGATTCTGCTATGATTTGCAACGTCGTATATGGGTAGGTTCATGATACTTTACCGAGTGCTCCCTATTTCTGTATCACCAACGGGTCGCAAACTGAAGATTTTTATGGACGTTTGGGTGGTTTTATTACCTGCAGAGGCGTGCTTGGGTATTTAATCAAATATATTCGTTAAAACTGATAACTATGTTTATGTAATGTATGATATACATTAATATTGTTGTAACATCAGATAAACCCCATGAATCTTCATCGAAAGTTATGATTGCAGGTTCTACACTTCCATTCAACTTAATCGTCTGATTTCCACATGGTGTCTTCTTGTTTTATAATGTGTTTCATAGATTTTCGCCATTTTTTTGAATCGACATTTCTTAAGGACTCCTTAAAGAGTACTTTGACGTTTTGAATGTCAAATGTCGTGTTTCTTCTTAAAACGAAACCCTTTTCTCAACCCCAAACAATTTAAATGGGATTAAATTCGCAATGATAAGGGGCAAAGCGCAGAATAATAATATTTAATATTTCGTTTCTTTGCTATCATCAGGTCCTCAGGTTCTCAGGACATGAGGTGTTCCATCTTTTCTACTGAAAAAATGTGTTTGCTCACTAATAAAACCATTAACATACATATTCAATCTGTCACTGCAGATAGGCTGCTTTCCCACATACTGGAAAGACAGGTTATAACGCCTGTTTTGTATCCAATCAACAATTCCTGAAGTGTTTGATGAATAGGTGTCTGGCTATTTGTCAATACAAACTTCAAATATTATCTTTCCTGAACAACATGGATTTTGTTCAGGTAAATCGACCGTCAGTAACCCATATCGAAAACTTTCTGTTGAACGCCTTTGCAAAAAGACTCAAGTTGATGATATATATACATATTTTTCAAAGTCGTTTGACAGGGTGAATCATACCTTATTACTTGAAAAACTCAGTTCTATTGGTATTAACCTCAGTTTAGTTCTACCACACGTTCATTTCTGAGTTACACGGAGGTCAATCAAGTTTACGCCTTGTTTGACATCACTACTATGAATTTGAAAATCAATCAAAAAATCTTCAAAATGTTTGTTAAAGAAAAACTGGTACAGGATACCAATTGTTTCGTTCGATAAACATATTTGTCTACGAATAATGTTCGGAAATCCAAAAATGTATTCTCTTATACAGTTTACAAACATTTGTGATAACACTATATCTCAAGAAGGATTTAAATCGCAATAAATTAGTGAGAGTGAAATCTAACAAGCGGCAAGTAGTGAATCTTATATTTTCAGTGGCACACTTTGATAGAGTTCATAAATGAAGGTTAAAAATGCATGACTCACGAATAGAAAAATGAAACGTCTTTTGCTACCTATTTGGAACTAAGCTCGAACATGTCTACCTACGTGGTATTCATACATATCTGTCAATGCCCAATAGAATTATTTTGACAACAGGTGATTGTTTCCCACATAGTTTTAACTCGATAAGAAATTTTCTCCATATTTGTATTACAAAATACATCGAAAATATTGGCATTTGAAATTTACATAATATTTGTGCAAGAAAGTTTGCAAATGCTCACTGAATAGGAGCATTTGTATTACGGGTTTAAACAATCCATTGAGTAATGAGTANAGAGATAAAGCATGTCGGGTGGTAGGGGCACTCATATAACAAAAAACCTCTCTTCCTGGTTTCTCTTTTGGTGCACATCGTAACTCCTTGGGTGGCATCTTCTGTTTCCAAAGCACAAAGGGATAACACCATTTGATGGTGAAATATCGCAGCAGGAGACTTCAGGGGTTGCTTTGAAGGCGCGAACGATACTAGAGGACGACAAGGGGATATTCTGCCTCCAGTTAGAAATCTGGATTGCCAGGAAATCGCTCGAAAATCGAGGACACTGTATCGATTTTTACTCAGCGATTCCCGCTCGGAATCCACCCTGGAAAATACCTCTCGGAAATACGCGAAGTATGTCACCGGCCTCAGTGTGGAAGTACGATCGTCGCTCTTATACTCCTACCCTCGATCTTGAACATTTTCAAAAATACTCGAGTCGGCGCATTTGATAAATAAAAAGCCAAAATAAAAATAGAAATACAATAATAAGCAGAAAACCCTGAAATCAAACTACAATAAAATAAAATACAAGCAAAAAATCGAACAATCAAAGAAAAAGGAAATGAAAATTGAAGGATTTCAATTACTTCATGACGTTTCGATTGTTAGTATCCACAATCATCTTTCGATGATAACTGGACTATTCCTCCGGGAGATGACAATTTATAGCACATTCGAGTGCTTTCACGTATCCTCTCTTCCCTCTCTCGGTTTCACCGGTTTAGCGAGGGATGATCATTTGGCGAGAATTGGCAGTTTTCCGCTTCATTATGGGTTTCCGTATGTTACGTATCTTTAAGCTAGATTGGCTGAATACGTTGTTGAACAACATATATGCGGTTTCTATGAATTTTCTCCAGAACCAGTGGTCCTCCCTGTGAATAATCTCAGCTAGGGACCACTTGATGTTATGTTATGATGTTATGTTAGGATTTGCCGCACTCTCAGGGTATCTGGTATATGCAATTCTTAGAATCGCAGTCTACGTTTGGTCTTCTTATCTTTTCCAACAATTCTATGATGTAGGAAAGTGCAAGTACTGGTTGTGACAACTTCTCTTCCTTCTCTTCCAGCCCAAGTCTGTTCCACCATCACTTTGGAGTAATCATTCCGTCGAAGATCTTTTTTTGATGAAGCCCAGTTCCTCCCCGAGACCTTCCTTTGTAGTACAGAGCTCAAAGGTCTAATCTCCAAGGGACTGCGCATTCACGAGTAGATATCGATGCTGGCGGCATAGTAAAATTGTACGGTATGTTCACCCAAATGTCTTGCAACGCATTCTTTGGAGTAACCGAACGCCGCCTTTCGGCAAGACAGCGGTAGCTTTGTCTCGAGCGACGGTCCGTTCGTGTCGGCTTAAGGAAGTATAAACAAAGGATACTGTTTTAGGTGGCGAATTAGTTTGGCTGCGCCTCGCGAATCATGATACGCCGCATCAGAACACTAAACCAGAGAGAGGTATTTTGAATTTGTTTCTAATTTCTCCAGGGGCAAAAGAGAGCTATTTGAGTAGTCTTAGACCAACAAATTTCGTTAACATGTACGTTATGACGCAAAGAACGAGATTGTGCTGAAAGTTCTTCTTATTAGTCTAGTTCACATGTACTTTTTT